GACGAAATGGAATGGACGTAAGTATTGCTCTGAATATTATAAAACAATTATATCAAAATATAGATAGGGTATGTATTTAATTTGTCTGGTCATTTAAATTATAGATTGCCAACAGACGTGCAAGCCGAAGCGATACCTTTGATTCTGGGTGGTGGCGACGTGTTAATGGCTGCAGAAACTGGTAGTGGAAAGACTGGTGCCTTTTGTTTACCTGTTTTACAAATAGTATGGGAAACTCTGAAAGACTTTGAATCTGGGAAAGCAACTGCTTCGTCGACATCACACTCGCAACCTTGTATGTAGTTTTTCACATCAACGACATCTACCAAAACATTTATTTGTTAATTATTTGTAGCAAAACATTGGTCTCTAAGTTTATTCGATAGAGGCACAGCATTGGCTGTAACTCCAGATGGTCTAAGATGTCAAAGCCGAGAACAAAAGGAATGGCATGGTTGTCGGGCCAATAAAGGAGTTCAGGGGAATAAGAAGTTCTTTTTTGAAGCTACGGTAACCGACGAAGGTTTGTGCCGTGTTGGCTGGTCTATGTCTCAGGTGAGTATTAAATCGCATACAGTAATATCTAATTCTATCGGTGGAGAGATTGACTCTAACGACTGATGTATTTTCAGGCTACCTTGGATTTAGGTACAGACAAGAATGGCTTTGGTTTCGGTGGGACTGGTAAGAAATCCAATGCAAAACAGTTTAATGATTATAGCGAGGCTTTTGGCATGCATGACGTGATTGGATGGTACCTAGATTTATTAATGGGTGAATTTACATTTTACCCAGCCGTTGTATTAAAGAACGCGGAAATGTCTTTTAATTTTGGAGCACAGTGTGTTTATTGTATCATTATAATCTTCATGATTGTACCATCGCTATTTCAGTTACACAAATGTATAATACAGTGCAGTGTTTAGTTTTTTTGTAATTTTTCAGTATACGAAGTTTTTTTTACAAAAATACAATTTAAGAATACGAAAGTGGAATACCATTTTTCTTCACTTAATTACAGTAATTTAAAGACTGCTAATATTTCAGAATATTTCATTGTTATAAAAGAATTATGACTGGGAAAACGGGCAGATAGAGGGGCAATTAGAGACAGCAAACAGATGGAGGGCAAGGTGAGCAAGGATAGCATTTGATGGTTCCTGTGTAGTAAAGCCCGCCGGTGGTGACACGTGTTCTTATGACGGGTCCATGATCAGGAGGTGCGGGCACTGGTTTAGGTATAGACGCACAGGTGACGCATGGATAACAACAGCAAGGTGGACAAATAAAAGGTCGTGGTGGGCAGGGTAGGGGAGGAGAGCAAGGTACAGGACAGCAAAGTGCAGGGCAACCAGATGGGGGACAGCAGACCGTAGGCGGTGAACAACGTGTTGTAGGGCATGGTGGACAACATATTATGGACTCACACGATGGGGGACACGGTGGACATTGCGGTTCCAGCGGGGGACAACAACCACAACTGAAACAAATGCTCTATCAATTAAGGGTATTCAATAGAAAAGGGTGGATATCAAATATTATTAATAGAAACTCCGGATTTTTGTGATTTAGAAACTAACTAATTTTGATCATAAATGCACAAAAATCCATAGTCTAATCATTACCCCTAAGCAGCATTGTAAGATAATTAGATAATAATATTTAGTATCTTATATCCACATAATAAAAACAGCACCTCTCGATCATCCTTCTTAGTTCTTTTTTACCGTAAGGACGATCGCACTTTACAATCACGGACATTTTTAGTTTATTATATTGTAAAAATTTACTGGAAATTTTGCTGATGTGAAACGAATCAAAATGTCATTTGAAGTTGAAGCACGAAGTTTGTATAAAATAATGGAACGATAGTTCGATGAGCGAATACAGACAAATTCGCAGTTAATAATTTTTATGTAAGTAGCTGTTGTATAAATTGATTAAGGACGGCGGAGTTCGAGGAGTGACAATTGCTAACGCGGCTTTGAAATGTTCTCTGGTGATTATGGCAGCGTTTAAATTCTCCTCGAGCGCTTTCATGGCTGCTTCGTGGCATATAGCTTGGATTTCTGCCCCAGAATATCCTTCCGTGATTTCGACTAGATCTTGTATTTTCACGCTATCGCTGATCGGCATTTTCCTCAGCTTTATATCAAATATCTCCTGTCTAGTTTCGTTGTCGGGTAATGGTACATAGATTATGCGATCCAACCGACCCGGTCGGAGGAGTGCCTGAAAAAATTATAGTGCTTTTATTAGTAAAATGAAGCCGGGTGAAACGATTTTTCAGAAATTTACTGACTTTGTCGATCTTATCGGGCCTGTTGGTAGCGGCAACCAACGTGACGCTTCCCAACGCAGTGACTCCATCTAGTTCTGTCAGCAACTGTGCCAAAACCCGTTCTTGCACGTTGCTTCCACTATTAGAAGAGGAACTTCTCTCACTCCCTAGCGCATCAATTTCATCGATAAACACTATCGAAGGCGACACCTGCCTGGCTTTCCTAAATACCTCCCTCACGGCTTTCTCAGACTCGCCCACCCATTTTGAAAATAATTCTGGACCCTGAAAACAATCTTATATGATTAGAATTGTTCAATTAGCCCAGCGTTCGCACTTTAAAGTCTTCAATGAAAAGAGCATGCCTTGGCAAGATCAAGAATCGAGATGAACGAATTGTTACCTTTATATTTAAGAAATTGACATCGCTCTCTGTTGCTAGGGCTTTTGCGATCATCGTCTTAGAGCAACCAGGTGGCCCAAACATTAGAACACCTCTAGTCGGAGTGATGCCCATTCTCTGAAACGCTTCGGGGTGTCGTAGTGGCCATTCGACCGCTTGTTTCAACTTTAATTTCAAATCTTTCTGCCCTCCTATGTCCGACCATCTAACATTGGGCACTTCTATCAAGACTTCCTTCATGGCTGATGGTTTTATCACATTCAGAGCAAGATTGAAGTCTGGTAGCGTTATTTCTGTGAACGTTTCGAAGGACACGTTCGCTTTTTGTTGGCGTTTCACAGCGTTTAAGACTGCCTGGGAGCAAAGACCGTACAAGTCTGCGCCAACATATCCATGAGTAACAAATGCTATGTTCCTGACGTCTTCGTTTAACAAAGTGTGTGGAATTTTTAATAACATTTTCTCTAATATTTCCCTTCGCATAGTTGGCGTGGGCACATAGATTTCGAATTCCTTGTCTATTCTACCAGGTCTTCTAAGAGAACTATCCACTAGATCAAGTTTAGAAGTCGTTCCCAATATTACAACGTTATCATTCGCGTTCTGTATATCGTCGAAAAGTGCTACCAGTTGCGAGAGAACCCTTCTCTCGTGATCAGTACTCGAACTACTCCTCTTAGGACACAAGCTATCGATCTCTTCTATTAAAATTATGCTGGGAGCTTTAGTTTTGGCTTCCATGAAGATATCCTTCAATTTCTGTTCTGTTTCTCCGAGAGATTTACTATAAATATCTGAACTGTAAACAGTAAAACAGTTGAGATCATATTCAGATATTAGAGCATTCGCAATGATAGATTTACCAACACCGGCAGTACCATATAATAATATTCCTTTGCTAATATAAAAATCCCCAATGCTTTTACATCTACCCAAACCAATATTTAGAACATCTTTAATGTCTTCTATTAGATTGTTGTACCCCCCAACATCTTCTATTTTGCATTTCTGTTTTTTAGGCTCATCTCTCTTCTCCTCTTTTTCGTTTAGAATCGTCCACTTTGTATTATAAAGTGCTTTGTAAAGTTTAATGCTGTACGTATGATCTGACGTTAAATTTAATTGTTTAAGTTGTTCTGATATACTATCTGTACTTTCATCGGATGTAACTTGTAGAATCTGATAAGTCAATCTTTTACCATAAAAGGGTATACTGAATTTATTTCCAACAAAGAATATTTTGTGCTCATTATGATTCTTCAATATTATATTAAGCTCTGTACTTGCTTCTGGTAGCGAATGCCTTCCCGTGTAAGAAATTATGAACTCTTTAGCAACGGAAACAGGACAGCTCATTTTCTGAATTTTAACAAGACCCTGCAGATCGTTCAGTTCCATGGCTGCAAAAGATAAATTTATAGAAACATGTTCTTGCTTTTTATTCTTGACAATTCAATATACAACCGACCATGTTTGGTCAATGAAACGCTTGCGAGCGATTTGTCTTTAGTTGGCCAGATGGTTTTAACTACTGTACCTCCTTCTGTACTGACCAGAACAGGATCCCCTATTGCAATTTCGCATAGTTGCAATGCAGATTGCGATATAAACACCATATCATCTGATGCCCTTTGAGAAATGTTCTTTGGCAGTTCTGTGCAAAAAATACAATATAGGCGAAGAACTGTACAGGCAGTGATAAAAGTGCAGCTGCATATACCTTGTGGTTTATATATTTCTACAGTGCTGTACAAGGTACCACTGTAAATAAAATCGTGGCTCCATTTTTCTAAATTTGGCGGACAATTGCCATCATGTTCGGCTATGCATTTCTGCGTCAACGTGCATTCGCATTTTTCGCATGTGACCCATACCGAAAGACTTTTCCTTCCACTGTCTTTTATTTTCGAAGTCATTCTAGAGGAGATAAATCGACTAATTGTTGTGCTATAATTGTGTTACGTAAATTAAATTCACTACATACAATACTTCTCTAAGACAATGCAAAACAATACAGTACCTTCCTACAAAAACATAACCTATAAATTGTTATGATCATAATTTACCATTGAATAGTGTAAGGAAATTGATATGTATACACATGTGTATATATTTGTACCTTAAATGTAACTGAAAAATAGATGATTTTCAGGTCAGAATTGGTATTAATAAAATCTACGATATATTTAAAATTTCGTAGAAACACTATTGCGAAATGCTACCCATCGAGGCACGTGTATGTGGGGTAGCATAATCATGCGTCAGGACAATGATGCAATAAATATGGAAGAATTATAGACGCATAAATGAATTTGCGTCAAAAGACGATAATAATAAATTAATAAATGAACTGGGACAAGAATTATTTCTTTTATGATTAAAATCGTATTTGAATATTTAAAAGTAACGGTTAATCGAACATGAATCGCACATCGATTCTGCGGTACCTGCGCGTTAGACAAGCTGTTAGGTAAACATGCACCGGGGCATCTAAAATGCGTATGTTAACTAATGATGTACTCGAAATACTGATTTATTGGGAATAATTACAATTATGAAAACAATTATTATAACAGATAATAATATTTAGGATGCTCTACATTCTAATATATATTGTATATATACATATATGTATTAACGGTATAGTATATTAACAGTCACTTGAAGTATTTTTAATCACAGAAGCTTTGTATTAATTTAATAATGCTGATAGCAGATGAACAGTGTCGTCGCAATCATTTTGGTGAGATGACAAATCGTTTATCAATGACGATGATTGTACGCTATTTATATCGATTGTGGCAACGACGACGATTACAGGTACCGTGTAATATAAATTCTGTATGAATAAAATTCTGATGATGAAATTGTGGACACAGTAAAGCAAAGGGTATAAAGTTACTGCAACTAGGATAGCAGTATACCTAGCATATATATTCTATATATTTCAAACATTTGATTATGAACAATCGCAGTAGAACTTTGGTTATCCGAACTAATTATGATAATAGGGCAGTTACGTAATTACTGAACTCTTATCGATCCATTTACGCATGCGACATATTTGCATAATAGAGGGTTTCGATATCGGAGCCACGGATGGCCGATTTTACAATTCCACAATTTCAATTGTTGTACTAATAATATTAATACGGAATGAGAGATTCGCGTGACGACAAAGACAATGATTGCAGGCGCAGTGGAAAAGGATTCTGGTAGAAGAAAAGCCTGAGCCGAGAAGCCCAGAGGTCTTTAGGTACTAACGGATAATTGACGACGGAATCGTTACCGGGCAGTAGTTGATTTATGAGACGGGTACACATCGTTAGGTGATACGATTGAGCGAAAAAAGAAGGGCGAGACAGCGAAAAGGGAGAACTGACGTAGGGAGATGAAAGTCGGACGGGGCCTGGAATGTTGACGTTTGCAATGGAGGCAAGGATGAATCAGGTTCGGCGGGGCATGAAATCAGCATGATCGGGCCGGCCGTGGCGCGCATCGGCGATCGTTGGGTAGAGCAAGAGGCAAAAGACCCACCCGATGGATGGACGGACGGGCCAGTCCGTGACGAAGCGGGCCGACGTTCCCGTACCAAACGAGATTAATAGAGATCCGCCTGTCAGCCGGACGCCTCACCATCTGAGCGAGATCCAGCGGCTTCCAGACGGCCAGTCTTCTCGCAGATCGCAACCTGCGTGGGCAACTACCGATCGTGATCGATCAAACCCGTGCGCCTCCATTGCCGCGTAACGCACGGATCATAGTAGAAGCGCGAGTCCGCGATTAACCCGTGCACCACGAGTCAATCTAGTCATCCAGAGATCGGATCAATCGGCCGCTGTGAACGATCCAACCCTCTTCTTTTTCGGAAAGCAATCCGCGTTCGTCGCAACTCGTACTGATGCGAATAAGAATCACGAGGGGTCGGTGGGCCGTATTCGGTGGCTTCACCCTAGTTTGCCTGGCCAACCTACGATTAGGTAAACATTACCAACTCATTCACACGCTTTCCACACCCCGTCTTTAAGGGAGTGATAGTATAGAGTGACAGATTGCGTGAGTAAGTTACGTAATCCTTCTGCGAAGTTGCGTTAGCCCTGCGCGGAACTGCGGTGGTTAGAGGATCCTGACTGAGAGCCTCTTGTTACAGCGATCGCCGACAAGAATTCAGAGGGAAGGGTTCGCAGGGAAGAGACCCGGCAACATGTATGCTGCGCAAAACACGAGAAGATGATCGACGTTGGATACGGTAAGCGACTTGCGAGGTCTCCTTCCTGACGTGGCTCCCAGATATGTACTTCAGTGTAATTCGGAGGTGCGACAGGTCTAGCTTTAGGGGAGTCCTTCGGATGTGGGTCGTATCGGCTTCAACGGAGTGGAGGGTTGACAAAACTAGCTTTAAAAGACTGGTTAGTACACAGAGAGTTGTGTATGACTCTCGTTTCAATGAAATTTGGAGGATCGATAGGTCTAGGTTTAAAAGCTCAGGTAGTAGACGGTGGGGTAGCAAGCTGTAGATCCATCGTTCTACTCAATTTCAATGAAATTGGAGTCACTGATGGCAGCAGCTGGTTGCAGAGTGCGTTCACCGACGGCGGGAAAAGAAGAAAGAGCATGGTTGCGTAATTTTAGCGAGCTGGCTAAGTGGAAATCGCGTTCCCTCGTTTCTCATACCGGCGCCCCATGTTCTACGAGCGATAAACGCCGGTGGCCTTGCCGCTAGATCCGATCTGGCGAATTAGTATCGGGTGTTCAATCAATTGACGCCGATCGAGAGAGGATGGAGCGTCCGGTGGTCGTCGTCGCCGGTGTCGCGTTCCCGTCAGTCAAAGCCGTGTTTTCCTATATATATACGCACACACGCACACACGCACGCACGCACGCGCACCCAGCCNGCCGATTTTACAATTCCACAATTTCAATTGTTGTACTAATAATATTAATACGGAATGAGAGATTCGCGTGACGACAAAGACAATGATTGCAGGCGCAGTGGAAAAGGATTCTGGTAGAAGAAAAGCCTGAGCCGAGAAGCCCAGAGGTCTTTAGGTACTAACGGATAATTGACGACGGAATCGTTACCGGGCAGTAGTTGATTTATGAGACGGGTACACATCGTTAGGTGATACGATTGAGCGAAAAAAGAAGGGCGAGACAGCGAAAAGGGAGAACTGACGTAGGGAGATGAAAGTCGGACGGGGCCTGGAATGTTGACGTTTGCAATGGAGGCAAGGATGAATCAGGTTCGGCGGGGCATGAAATCAGCATGATCGGGCCGGCCGTGGCGCGCATCGGCGATCGTTGGGTAGAGCAAGAGGCAAAAGACCCACCCGATGGATGGACGGACGGGCCAGTCCGTGACGAAGCGGGCCGACGTTCCCGTACCAAACGAGATTAATAGAGATCCGCCTGTCAGCCGGACGCCTCACCATCTGAGCGAGATCCAGCGGCTTCCAGACGGCCAGTCTTCTCGCAGATCGCAACCTGCGTGGGCAACTACCGATCGTGATCGATCAAACCCGTGCGCCTCCATTGCCGCGTAACGCACGGATCATAGTAGAAGCGCGAGTCCGCGATTAACCCGTGCACCACGAGTCAATCTAGTCATCCAGAGATCGGATCAATCGGCCGCTGTGAACGATCCAACCCTCTTCTTTTTCGGAAAGCAATCCGCGTTCGTCGCAACTCGTACTGATGCGAATAAGAATCACGAGGGGTCGGTGGGCCGTATTCGGTGGCTTCACCCTAGTTTGCCTGGCCAACCTACGATTAGGTAAACATTACCAACTCATTCACACGCTTTCCACACCCCGTCTTTAAGGGAGTGATAGTATAGAGTGACAGATTGCGTGAGTAAGTTACGTAATCCTTCTGCGAAGTTGCGTTAGCCCTGCGCGGAACTGCGGTGGTTAGAGGATCCTGACTGAGAGCCTCTTGTTACAGCGATCGCCGACAAGAATTCAGAGGGAAGGGTTCGCAGGGAAGAGACCCGGCAACATGTATGCTGCGCAAAACACGAGAAGATGATCGACGTTGGATACGGTAAGCGACTTGCGAGGTCTCCTTCCTGACGTGGCTCCCAGATATGTACTTCAGTGTAATTCGGAGGTGCGACAGGTCTAGCTTTAGGGGAGTCCTTCGGATGTGGGTCGTATCGGCTTCAACGGAGTGGAGGGTTGACAAAACTAGCTTTAAAAGACTGGTTAGTACACAGAGAGTTGTGTATGACTCTCGTTTCAATGAAATTTGGAGGATCGATAGGTCTAGGTTTAAAAGCTCAGGTAGTAGACGGTGGGGTAGCAAGCTGTAGATCCATCGTTCTACTCAATTTCAATGAAATTGGAGTCACTGATGGCAGCAGCTGGTTGCAGAGTGCGTTCACCGACGGCGGGAAAAGAAGAAAGAGCATGGTTGCGTAATTTTAGCGAGCTGGCTAAGTGGAAATCGCGTTCCCTCGTTTCTCATACCGGCGCCCCATGTTCTACGAGCGATAAACGCCGGTGGCCTTGCCGCTAGATCCGATCTGGCGAATTAGTATCGGGTGTTCAATCAATTGACGCCGATCGAGAGAGGATGGAGCGTCCGGTGGTCGTCGTCGCCGGTGTCGCGTTCCCGTCAGTCAAAGCCGTGTTTTCCTATATATATACGCACACACGCACACACGCACGCACGCACGCGCACCC